GGGAAAGGTAGCGGAGGTACGGCTAATTACCATGTTTCTCTTTTATTAGATAGGACTAGAGGCCCGGTGCACGAAATTCATGCAAGGGCCGAGGCCCTTGCAGCTGCCAGCGGCTTACCTCAGCCCTCACAGCCCTGACTTCATCCGAAAGGTCATCTGGAAGGACATCCAGTCTATTAGCATATTACACTTTTATTATTATAGATAATAATCATACATAATAACCACTGTGAATGAGTGACACCTCTACAGATACCTCCAGTCTCCCTTGTGAAGGAAGCCGTCCTTTCGACTTGATATCACAACCTCCCACCCCCTCAACTACCTCCTCCTCAGCCCCCACCCCCTCAGCGTGAGAGGGGCTATCACACCTTGTGAAACGTACCTGAGAGCCCACAAGGAATGCGGTCATTGTCTGTCCAGTCAAATCAGGAACAACAGAGACATGCCATCTTTCCACTTTATTTTTAAAAAAGAATTAGGGGCCAGCCAGAAATCAAGCCAAAAGATTCAGAACATGAACATGTTTTACAGTCATTTTCAGATTGAGCTGTTATCTCAGCTTTGTCTGAAGTGAGTTCATCCCCTGATGATTGATGTTTTGTCTCTCTAATCTTGTGGGGTTTATGTGAATGGAATTTTAGCATGTGTGTGTGTGTTGTTAATTCCCACTTGAGGATATGTTTTTATTGATTTTAGAGAGAGAGGAAGGGAGAGAGAGAGAGATATCAATCAGTTCCTCCCATATGTGCCCAGGGCCACCCGAGGCCCTTCAGTGTTGGGACAAGGCTCTAAGCAACCGAGCCCCGGCCATGCTGTGTGTGGGTTTATCTTAAGAGAGAATAATCCCCAGCCCTTGACCTACACCACACACGTGCGCGCATGCACACACGCACACATGCACATACACGCACACACATACACACAAGCACACACACACACGCATGCACACACACCACCACGTGTACACCGCCAAACATACCACCCTGCACACTTCACCTGCCCTGCACACACTCCCCTCTGGCTCCTCAGGGCCTGTGTTGCCGCTGAGCTTAGGGCAGTGTTTCCAGCTGCCCCTACCCCACACCCCCCTTCTGTGTTCTGGGTACTTCCCTGGAGGGTGTGACCTGGACGGCTTCTTCCTGTCCCCGAGCTGGGTTGGTGGCCAGAGCCGTCGGCGCACTCAGCCTGGCGTTCTGCCTGCCTGGCCGGTGGCTGCTGCTCTGCGGGTGACTTCGGGTGGCGAGAGGAAGAATGGGCTTTCTGAGCGCGAATGGGCATCGTAGGTTAGTGAGATGAGATGTGGCTAATACCAGTATGTTCACCTCCTGCCTGGGGAGTATTTGTAACCCCAAGTCCACACTCACGCACGTCTTGTCGCTCACAGGCGTGCGGAGCGGAGACCTGAATCGCAGCTGCACGCGGCCCAGCGGGGGTTGGAGGGGCAGCACTGCTGGCCTGTCCGCTCCCCGCTAACAAGGCCCCAGGGCCTGGAGTCCTGAGACCCACGTTTTGTTGGTGATTTCACTGTTGAAGATGCCAGCGCTCAGTAGTGGTTCTGTGCTGGGGTCCAACCCCAGCAGGTCCAGGGGTCCCCAAAGGTGTGGACGGAGTCGGCGAAGAAGGAATGACATGGAGACAGCGTTCAGTTGATCAGCAGCCTTGCCAGGATCTCTAGCCACAATTTCTAGCCAAGTTCTGTTCAGGGTCTTCAGCGAAGTTCTGGTTAGGATCTCCAGCCAGGTTCTGTGTCCATGTTCTCTTGCTAGGCTCTCCAGCCAGGTTCTCCAGCCAGATTCTGTTGCCATGTTCCCTCACTAGGTTCTTCAGCCAGGTTCTGTCCAGGTTCTCCAGCCAGGTTCAGTCACCAGGTTCTAGTCAGGTTATCTTGCCATGTTCTATCCAGGTTCTGTAGCCAGGTTCTGTCTCTAGGTTCTTCAGCCAGGTTCTCTTGCTAGGTTCTGTCTCTAGGTTCTGTTGCCAGTTTCTGTCCAGGATCTTTTGCCATGTTCTCTCCAGCAAAGTTGCGTGATTGTTTGTAGTTAAAGTGATTAACTACCCGCCTGGCACTTCAGTTAAGAGTTTTATTCCCTCCCTAACTTCAGGGGAAAATCCCTACCTGGGGAAACAACCTTTCTCAGAGAGGTGACCTTGGTTAAAACACATAGTGCCAAGAAGGTGAGCAAACATATTAAGAACAGTATGCCATATATGCCAGGTCCCTTGAAACAGCAAGGATGGACCGGCTCCCGGCCGTGCTGAGTGCTGTCCTGGGAGAGGCTGGGAGGCCAGTGGAGAAATCCCCGGAGCCAGCCCAGCTTCCTGCAGGCAGGAGCGCGACGTGGGCTCAGCAGTGGGCACCAGCCGGGGCGCCTCCAAGCAGAGCCGCTCAGACAAGGTCCTGCGTGGTTGGGTGATGCGTGCCAGGGCCGCAGGCTCCGTCCCAGCCGTGGCTCTGGTCCCACGCCCGTGTTCTTGGCAACATTCCAGGACGGTTCCTGCGGGGCGCGCCCGGGAGCAGGGCTGTGGGCGGGGCGCGGGCGGCCGGCACTGAAGCCGCCTGAGCCGGCTCCTGTGTCACACTCCTTGGCAGGTTACTTTCTGAACTTCCTGGAGCCGGTGAACAACATCACCATCGTCCAGGGCCAGACGGCGACTCTGCACTGCAAGGTGGCCGGCCACCCGCCGCCCAGCCTGCGGTGGCTGAAGAACGACGCCCCGGTGGTGCAGGAGCCGCGGCGCGTCATCATCCGCAAGACGGAGTACGGCTCTCGGCTCCGTATCCAGGACCTGGACACGACAGACACCGGCTACTACCAGTGCGTGGCCACCAATGGGATGAAGACCATCACTGCCACCGGCGTCCTGTTCGTGCGGCTCGGTGAGTGGGGACAGGCTGGGCCTGGTTTGCAGCGAGGGTGCTTCACAGCCACCAGGGGAGAGTCACTGGCAGCGGGAAACAGCACACACCCCAGCAGCGGGACAGCGGTCAGCGTGCCGGGCCGGCGTGCCCTGCCCCTCGCACTAGTAGGAAAAGGGAGGGACACGGTGGACACGCTGGACGCAGGACATAATCCCAGGTTAGCAGGCAGGTCGTAGGCCACAGAGTCACCCTGCGGGAGGCCCCCACACAGCCTGAGCCCCCACAGGCCTGGCACCTACCAGCCCACAGACCCCTGGCCCGGCAGGGGTGGGGGAGCCAGCGTGAAGACAGCTCTGAACTCTGTGCGAGGTACATGGCTGGAAGGAGTGTGTCCCCCTCGCATCCCCCTTTTGAGAAGGTCCCTGGAATGCCCCAGCCTCTCTGTCACCGATTAGGAAAATGGGTCTTGTGAATCAAGGTTAGATGCGGAGAGAGCAAGAGCAAGACGGTGAAAACTACAAAAATAGGTCCAAAAGCCCTGGCCAGTGTGGATCAGTGGTTAGAACGTCTGCCCTCACACAAAAGGGTCTCAGGTTCAATCCCCAGTTAAGGGCAGGGACCTGAGTTGCAGGCTCCATCCCAGCCCCCACGCAGGAGGCAGTCAGTGGCTGTGTCTCTCTCACATCGATATTTATCTCTCTCTGTCTCTCCCCTTCCCTTCCACTCTCTCTGAAAAAAATCAGTGGAAAAAATACCCTCGAGTGAGGATGAACAACAACAAAACCACATAAAAACATGTCCAACAGAGAGCGCCCTCCGGGGTGCGGCTCCCCGCTCCGGGCACAGCCTCCAGGGGCCAGGGCCCGGCTGAGGCAGCTCCCCACGGGCGCCCTGTGCTGCTGCGCCTTCACCGATGCGGGGTTGGAAAGAGTTTGGTTCCAAGTCATGAAGCATTAATAACATGCCCGTTTTTCCTTTTTAGGTCCCACACACAGCCCAAACCATAATTTTCAGTAAGTATCTGTTTTCCTGAAACCTTTCTCTCGTTCTCTGAGGCGCCGTTATGTAAGAATCCAGGTTTAAATCCAGCAAGCACATGTTTTTACGGAATTTGCTGGAAGTTGGCTGGACGTCACTCGAGGATGGCAATGCGTTTGCTGTGGGCTGGGAAACGATGGCCTGTCCCAGTTGGTGTTAGGAAAAATGTCATAAAAACAGAGATTGCAAGGTCCTTTCATCTCTGTGGCCCCCATGCGCCTGGCGGAGCATCCACACCGGTCCGGCCGCGGGCACCAGTCTGGTCTTCAAACGCGTTTGGAGCCAGGAAGGCCGTTCTCCCTGAAACCCAGCACCGCCCAGCAGAGGCGGCCCGGCCCGCTTCCCGGTACAGCCCCGCTCAGAGCCTCGCCGGGTCTGCAGGGGCGTGCGCTCAGGCCTTCCCGGGACAGCCTTTCCACGCGTGCACCGTGGGGTCCCCTCTGGACCCCCTGCTTGCAGCGTGGCCTGAGGATGGCTCGCAGGCCTGTGTGAGGTTGCAGCGGTGGGCTCCTCGTTGCCTCCCCGACACAGGAGGGCACGGCTGCACCGCAGTGTTCTGGGGGGACACGCTGTGTGTTTCTGACCCCCTGGTGCTGCAGGAGTGTTGGCCCAGCTGTGGGCTTGGTGAGGCTCCCAGCACAGCAGGTGCCCTGGCGGAGAGCAGCTGGGGGAGGGGCTGCGCTCAGGGGCCCTGCCCACACCTTGCTCCTTCATCACGCATGTGTGTCGTGAGGAAAGAAGTTGCACAAAGGGAACATCGATGAGGCTTTAGAAAAGATATGTCGTTTCAAACGAGTTTTTCTTTTCTTTATTTGTATCATTAATTAATTTACATACTAAGTACATAACAGTATATTGTAGAGCAGCAGTCGCCCACCTTTCGGTCCTCACGGACCACCGGTTGGTGACTGCTGTTATGGAGTATACAAATATCACTTATATGTAATTATAATGTAGTTCACTAAATGTATAAATATCAAATGCATTTACATAAGTTTTATGTAAAAATTCAATATTTTTACACTTATTTTCTTCTCATTTTAAATTATGGATCAAATCAATGCATTTGTCCAGATAATTTGGGTAGTTCTGGCAGAGTGACAGCTCATCAGTCCTGTCCCTCGGGCCTGTGCCCGGCCCCGTGGCCAGGTGGGTGTGCAGGCGCGGCCTCTCTGCCCTGGGTACACATGTGGGCCCAAGAGACACAGCACCACTTGCTCCCTCTTTTGCATGAGTGGTAGGATAGTTAGCTGTCAGTACATTTTAAATCCCCCTGGCCGCAGTCACGGGGCGCCTGCCTCTGCACTGGGCGTTCTGCATGTCCACGCCCTCATTAGTCCCGAGGCCTTGTGCCCTGGAATGTGGACAGCCTCTCTCGGGGACTCTGAAGAGCAGAGCCTGGAGGGCACACGTGTGCACAAGTCGCTTCCCTGCCACACCTGAGAAGACCCGCGTCTCCTTGTCCCCAATGTAGCCCCAAGTCTGTCTGCCCGCTCCCTTCCGTCACGCTGTCCCTGAGTGCTGGCCACCTGTCACCCTGTCACCCTGAGTGCTCGGCGCCACACCCCCAGGCTGCCCCTGCCTCTGGCAGTGTCTCTCATAGTCCTTGCCTGTTGCCCTTACATTGTTTCTCAGTGATTTTTAATAATGATTCATCTACTTCTTGATAACAGAAATTTAAATTTTCTGTTACTAGTCAATAATTATATGGGTTTTCATGTGTCTTATTAAGGAACACCCTAATTTCCTTGAAATATTCTGATAGTGTTTTGATTGGAATTGCAATGAATTTTTAGATAAATTTGGGAAAAATTAATATTTAATTGAATTGTCAAGGACCACTTCCTTCGTGCTTTAAAATGTCCTTTTCTCCCTAACATTTATTTTGAAAATTTTCAAGCAAATGGAAAAGTAGAAAGAATTTTATAGGGATCATCCAGCCCGGAACCTACCACCTGGACCCTGGCGTTTACAGTACCTCCCCTGCCAGCATTCTCGCTGCTTCCCGCCGTCTCCAGCCAGCGGGCTGTCTTTTTATTCACCTCACAAGGTGCAGATATCTGTGCACTCCCTGAAACTTCTCAGCAAGGAAGCCATTAACGAGTTCCACATCTGAACATTCTTGTTTCATTGTGAGTTAACCTACAGACAATGACATGCGCAAATCTGAATATTCCATTAACAAGGTCCAACCAATGCAGGAACCTCTGCAATCCAACCGGGGCCGGGCCCAGAGAGTCCCATCCCTGGGAGGTCAGGTGACCTCCTAGTCCACGCCCCTCCTCCCGTGCCAGCCACCGTTCTGGTGGGGTTCTGCCGTGGACAGTTCTGTGTGTTTTAGGATTTCATAGACACGCAGCCACAGCACAGAGCCACGCAAGCCTGGCTTCCTGCACAGGGCATTGCCTTTGAGAAGCATCGGGCTGTGTGTGTCAGCAGGGCACTGTTTCCCGCTGGACAGTGCTGCTGGACGCCGGGCACCCACTCCCGCTGGCATGGACGTGATGGGCTTCTCACACGGTGTTCTGTGGACGTGTCAGCATCTCTGCTAGGGAAGTGCCTCGGGGCAGAACTGCTGGCGTGCAGGGTCTGTGCATGCTGTGCTGTAAGAGATACGCCTTCGCTAGAGGGGACGTGCCCTTGGCACTCCCAGTGGCGGGGAGAGGTTTCGGGGGCTGCACGCACTCACCAGTAGTTGGTCTGGTCAGTCTTTGTAACTGAGCCCTTCCGGTGTGTGTGATTCCTGGAATACTTAAGATTCCTACACTGTTTTGTAAGTTTTAACTCTTTATGTTACTGACTTCTAAAAAATTACTTTTATCAGTCATTTTTAATTTCAAACAAATCTACTTGACATGGTGGCGCTTCCTCTGAATGCCACTTTGGCTGCATCCCCCTGGGCCCAGGGACACAGGCTCTCAGTTTTCTGTTCTTGCTGAATTTTATCAGTGAACTTGGGGTGTATTTTATTTTTGATAATTCGGTAAAGGTGTTCTTTGTGACCAATTAGATATGTTCAGTTTTTGTGAACATGTCCTGTTGTCTCAACAAATAAGTGTTTCCTGGTGGTGGCCACACATACCTTGGTTTACATAGTAGATCACGTGTGTGAAGTGTGGTATTAAAACCGGCTGTTTTCTTTGTCACGTGGGTTACAGATCCTGGAAATGTGTGAAAGCCATCATGCTCCTTCTGGCCTTGCCAGTGCCCACCAGCTGTCCGTTTTAAAGGGGCCTGTGTGCGTCAGGCCCGTAGGCCCGAGGCTGCAGGGCTTCAGCTGTGTTTGCCTGGAAGTCCCTATTCACGCTCTAACCGGCTTTCTTCGTTTGCATTTGCTGCAGACTTCTCTTCCTCTTCCTGTTCCACTGTCCCCCAGCCTCTTGGCATCTGTTTTATGTGGGTGTCTTAGAAGTAGCTCATAAGTTCATATTTTGGAGGCTGGTAAGGAGGATTTCCAATCTGGAAGGTCAGTTGCTACCTGCAGGCTGTTGTCGTGTTCACAGATGTGTGCACAGCACTCACTGCACTGGGAGCCCGCCCCGCCCCGGCGTCTGTGCGCCTGTGAGTGAGGGAGTCTGCTCACTGGCATCTGCCGGCGCCTCCTTGTCCCGTGGGCGAGAGACCTTGGGGGTCGGAGACCTGGGACTGGAACTGCAGGCGGCACCCCCTCTGCGACCAGGTTGCCCCTAGCCCCCAGCAGAGCACTGTCCTCACCGTGTTTCCCAGAACTTCAAATGCTGCCAATGACTCAGGTGTCCAGTAGTGACTTAGAGTAGTTTTACATTAGATTTGACCAGTAAGTGGTGAAGAACATGTTTTTGTTGGTTTAATATCCCTTGAATTGCCCATTCACATAGAGCTTACCCTCCTTGTTGGAGGATTTCATGCCTGCAAATTCTGTTACTTCACTACAGTGTCTTTGCAACCCCAAGCCCGTGCTCGGCTGTTTTCACGGTCACGGTCACGTATGGCATGTGCAGAGCGCTCGGCCCAGCGGGGTCCCTGCGGAGGCGGGCCTTCTTGTTGGAGGCCTGTTTCGTGTTAGGCTGTTGGTAGTGGTTTTGCTCTTGAAATGGCCCCAGCGGGTGCGGAGGTGCAGCCCTGCTCCTGGGGGAGAGGCCGGGGCTGCTGCCTGGAAGGCGCTGTCATGAGCCTCCTCGGGCCCAGGCCCAGCTCCGCGGGCCGTGAGTGCAGCGTCAGTGACACAGCAGAAGCCACAGACACGGGATGTGATGGCTGATAAGACATCGGGACCACTTGCAGTAAACTGTCTGCTTTTCCACTGGGAGCCATGGCTCAGTATTTGCTAATTCAGTGTTTACAGCTTCTTTATAGAAGTCCAGAGGCCCAGTGCACGAAATTCATGCACTGCGGGGAGAGGGTGTTCCTCAGCCCGTCCTGTACCCTCTCGCAGTCCCGGAGCCCTCGGGAGATGTCTGACTGATGGTTGATTTGCATATTAGCCTTTTATTATATAGGATAACCACCACACATAACCAGAATGGCCTGTATTTTCACATTTCATTAGGGTATCTGTCTTTTCCTTATTGATTTGCAGGAATTTTAGAATGTCCTCTAGGTATAATTGCTACATAATTTCCTCTGGAAGAGATTTCATACTTGTGTAAGCACGGGTCTGGACTGCTTTCCATATTGACGGCTGGCCCTCGGGCACACCGAGTGAGTGGCCACACGGGGGTCAGCCAGTGGACCGTGGCCTCTGTGGTACGGGAGCTTCCTGGCCCTGCAGATCCGCTTCAGGACTCACTCCACCAGCAGGTCCCCGCCGGGCTGCAGCCCAGGGTCCTGACAGAGCGTGTGTGCACCTCGCTGCACACTGTGCAGAATGTCTCACTGCTACTGTGGGTGGCGTTTCCCACCAAATTCATATCTCGAAGAATTAAGTTCCCCTCTCCCCACTGTGGGACTGTCTCGTAGTGAGGGCCTTAAGGAGGTAATTAGGCTAAGTGAGGGG